ATGTGAGAGCCTTTTAAAGGCGTATTTTGTTGGAAATGGTGAAGGCGAAGAGTAGCAGATGTCCATGTAGCACGACTTCTGTCTGGCGGCCTCGAAGTCGTTACGTCACTGACACCGAGTCGGGTGTTGTGGTCGGTTTTATGGTCAGGCGATGTGTCGAGAGCTCGGATTCATCTTTGTCGGCATGCTCTCTCATTGAGTCTTTCGTGAGGGCGTTTGAATGACTTTCCACCATGGTTCTACTGATATGACAAACGTCTACTCGACCACAGCCACAACCACAAGGCGTGAAAGAATTCCCTAACTGATGGGGAAGTTTAATGAGGGTGTTGGGTCTGCCTTCACCCTTATTTATGCCTGTCAGCGAAATCTGGAAAGTTCCTACACTTGTGCTTGCCTCGGAAACGGCTAAGATGGCCTTATCGCATGACACGGCCGTGGTGATAAGGTGGAAGGGACCTGGATACCGCTTCAACAAAGAAAACTGAAAAGGAACTCCAAATTAATTCGTATGCGGGAATGGAAGAATGAAAAGCTGAAGAGCTATAAGCGAGCTATTTGCTCTTGCCTTCAAAGTTAGTGAAACCTGCGTCTCGTGAGTGCTCAAGGCAAACAGTGTTGAAGTATGAGGGTAGTCGGCTAGAAAGTGACGATGTTTCCATAACTGCGGAGCCTATGGAGAGTGTCTCCCACCCAACTGCTGTTGAAGGTTGTACCATTGCCAAATCTGATTTAACTGTCTTGACAACTTTCAGGTGCAAACCCAGTGACGAATTCTTGGTTGTTGACGATGAATCACACTCCGATTGGATGCTTGTCACCTCGGTGCAGACGCGTCAGAGTGGATACCTACCCAAGTTCTGTCTCGAGGTTAGTCTGCAACGCCTTGATTCATGACTCTTCTAGTTGTATTGGTGCACTCTCCTGTTCGCCTTCCCCCTTCAATACACAATGCCTATCTTGCATTGTCTAGATGGCTTTATTATTGTGACATTTGCTTTGATTTTTTCCCCATTCTTTTCGACACACGTGCTTTTTTTTGAAGTGCGTACCTCAACCTGTCATTCGGGCGCGTTGTAATGAGCGTTTTGATGTGATATTTGTCTTTTCTCGGCTTGTTTTCAATATTTTTCTGCTTTTTATCACAGAGACTAAAGCACGCCTTTTGAGTTGTCAAATCAAGCTGGTTGGGTGAATCGGTGTTAAAGGTGTTATCCTCCTCGATTAGAACGCATCGAGGGCAGAGACCCCCCTCTTTCTAGTAGAATCTGTTTCAGCATATTCGGGGGGCATTCACGTGGAACTGGGACTTTTGAACTTACAAATAGATCGGGAAATTGAAATCCCGGGGAGTGGAATCGGCCTTCATATTTCCTTGTAGCCCAGCGTCTAAGTAGCAATCGAAAGGCATGTTGAACAGTCCTTGGACAGCCGGGCTACGTCATTTCCCTTGTTACTGTCTTGGCGCCTAATCTAAACTCATTTTTCCAAATTGGGAATCTGTGTGCCCTATGTGGATGAAGTCTCTCCAGAATCAGGCGTTTCGTGGACCGTGGACTGGATCGACGTGAAGCAGTATGATCGGCCGCCTTTGAAACTTACATCTGTGGCTGAGATACGATTGTCCGAGGATTTTATGTCACGGTTTGCAAGAAAGCTTGGCTAATCGCTACGCTACGCACTATTTTAGGGCCGCACTCACAGGCAGGCACTCTGTTGCCCTGCCATCGTGATTAACGGTGTCTGGGCTGGCACACCCATGACATGCGCACTGACTGTCAGTACTTGTAATAGGACGGACTCGGCGTTTGCCACTGCATGCAGCACCGCCGTGGTGCCATCTCTCTTTGTGGTTCTGGTCTAACCTAAACACCCCTCGTGGATGATCTGTGTGCGGTCATCGATGAATGGTGGTTGAGTGAAGATAAAATATCGGAAAGTCTTCTTAATGGTAGTGGTGAATGATGGAGAGCATTATATCCTTGTTACAAGCCCTATACTATGGTCAGTTGTTTTATCAGACATGCTTCCGGCGAGAAAAAGGCATCGTCATTGATGGCTTTCTTTACTATTTGAGTTATTCCTCGCTGACGTCCACATGTCGCAAGGGATTGCGGCAAATGCATGGCGAGGGGTCATCATCGTGGTGTTGCACAGCTTCTTTCGTTGAAGTAGCATTTTTTTGCCCCATTTTAGAGAGTGTATCCGGATATTATCGAACGACTGTCGTTTTTCCACGAGGACAGTACCTCCCTGGAGCAGCAGGAGTTGCTGAAACGAAGTACGTTTTGTTAGCAGTGGCAATTCCTACTGAGTAAATTTTAAGTAGCAGTTTTTTCGTCTGTGCTATTTTTGTCAAAAAATCTCAACTATTCAAGGTCGAAGAAGGCATAAATTTTACGCTTGCATTGTTCCCACTCTCCGTCCTAGTAAGTCCACTGATTGGGCTCTGTTGTTTGCTCTACAATTCAGGGAAAAGTATGGGTAGGGGAAGGGTGCTGCTGCTACCGCATGTGCGGCATGGCGGCTGCTATCAAAGGCCTGGGCTGTTTTCCCAACTCGCAGTGGAGTCTTGTCCGATTATTCGATTTACTTGCAATATTTTTGGGGAAGGTAAACACTCGGTTTTCTCATGCTAAAAATATTTTGTCTAGCAAAGTATTTTGAGGCTATTTAACTGCACACATAAACCTATCTCGTGCGGCCTCTTTATGGTCCACACATTTTATGCAAAAAAGTTTAAAAATCTCATAAATATAGAGGCAGTGGGTTTTAATTTCGAAGATTTTGGGAAAGTCGTGAATCCGCGTAATTACAGCATTGACGTCTACTAGCCATTCGTACATTGTAGCTTGTTTGGATACTTTTAGAAAAAAGCAACTTAGGGTTGACAGTGTTTCCTCCTACCGAAAAACTAGTAGTCCTTACTACTTTTACATGTGGCTCATAGATACTGGCGTTCCTGATGCATATTGTCCAATGCCGCCTCCTTGTAATTGTCAAGTTTTTTTGTGTATTTTCAACTAATAGATTTAAATTTTATCTTCTTTTTAACCTTTTTAATTGCCTTCTGACCACAGTATGACAGACTTTATATTTGTTTTCTCTTTGCATGCATAGTGCCTAGATTTTATCACAAAACATTTACTGACTATTACTTGTGATTGCCGCCCCGATTTCCCTGACTGAGCTCCCATGCCGCACTCATGTGACACATTTAACTGAAAGGGAACAGATCACATCAAAGGAGAAAACAAGACGAGAACAGTTTGTCCTATCAAAGCAGTAGAAAATTTGGGCTTTGGAGGTCGGTTTCTCTAGAAGGCAGATGCCGGGAGCGCAATAAGTCAGAGTACTCACTGTTGGTTCCCTCTTTTTGTATTCCGTTTAACTATCTATTTGTGGCCTCGAGCAAGGAGGATGATACTTACTGATGTTTAATTGCTCTTCCAACTTGAAGTAAGGAAGATAAGGGCTTTGTTGCCACCATCTGAAGCACAGTCGATAGTTGTAAGTCTCTCTTTGACCCTGAAGTCAAAAGGGCTATTAATGCACATGATTTGCATCCTCACAAAGCAGTACCAAGTGTAGATTTCCCAGCACGAGGAAGTTTTGTACCAGAGATGATGGAGTCCGCCTTTTGCGAAAGGATTAAACTAAAATAATAACTATTTCGCCTGTAGACGGTCCATTCAGCTACCTACTAAGATTATGTGATTCCAATCCGGGTCTTTATACCCTCCTCGTGTATGATGGAATCCGAATTCTGAAGTACAAAATCGCCACGAGCATCGTTTGGTCGGCCACAGCACAACCTCACGGCAACACTGCCAACAGTGACAACGATAACAAAAGTGCTCCATCGATTACGGCTCCGACGGCCACGTCTTCAGGCGATATTGTCGGCGGTGGTAACTGTCTGGAACTGGCTACGACGGATGGTACCTCGAACTCCTCCGTCTTTCAGCCCTTTAACAAACCACTCTACAAGTCAGTGGTGAAGATCCGCTATAACAATCTTTGGTACACCTCCGTGGAGAACGTTGTTGCTGCCATTGAGGCCCAATTCAACCAATCCAACTCGCCCTATCAACCCTGTCTGGTGGAGCTGAAGCCGGTTCAACGGGCACCCAAGGTTCGTTTAATTAGAACTACAGTTTTACATATTCTCGATGAAATCATCCAAGGAGTCGTGAATTTCAATCGACAAGTTTGCAGCTAAAATTAACTCTCTTTGAGTTTCATTTAAGCACGGTTTACGATACTAATTATCAAGCTGGTAATCAAACGTGCCTGCTGGGCTTCTTTTCTTTCACTTGTTGCCTTTTTTGGATTGCAGGTGATTCCCTCCCAAGATTCCATCTACATGGCCGTCAGTTTTAATCGCAGACCACCTTCACCACATGCGATTGTGGAGATACACGGCGAGTTGTCGCTCTGTAAGTGCCGCGTCTCTAACTTTCTATATACCCCCAAAGTTAAGAATCTCCTTCAAATTATTCATAAATTAGCTTTTACCCTTTTTATCTTGGTTTTTCTCCTAATGAAGTTGTGAGATTGGGGTGTTTTAGCTCGAATTTCGGTGGTAAGAATGCCCAAAGTCGTCTTATTTTTTAAGAATATTGAAATTGGGGGTTTTAAAAGCGCTTCTTTTTCATTGCTAGTTGCTCGGGATACATTCTTTCCGCCCTTTTTTATGTTTGCAATTACAAATTTTAACAAATTGTTTTAAAGCCGCTTTACTATTTTGAGCGTTTTCGGATCTGAAGTTGCCTTTGTTGCTTACGACTTCGTGTTTTAAATCTGTCTTTTAAGAAAAGTAATCAAACGGCTTACTGCCTTCAGAAAGTATGGGTCCTCATTGGCTGTGAAATGAAAAGTGATTTGCTTGTTTTAATCGGCTCTCAGATTGTGGCCTGGCGAATGTGTTGTTAGATCTATGGATTGTCAAAGTGGTTCATTTCGACGAAGGTCATGAATCCTTATTAGCTCCTTCAAGAGCCCGGTTTTTGTGCATCATTTTCGTCTAGTCGAGTTTATTTTATTGGGCCCTGATTCACTTTCTGAGAGTTATTTTCAAAAAGCTATTTGGAATTACAATCTGTGGCCAAAATTAAGATTTTGTATTATCTTTTCAAGAAAGAACCATGGCCTCCATTTTTCAATGATGGCTCTTGTAGCATCTCTAGTCAGCTCTGAAGTTATGGTAAGTCAGAATGGAAAGGATGGGTGGATGTTTCTCAGAGAGGGGGAGGGGGGTAAAACCTGGGGAGCAGCTAAAGATATGTCAGATCACTGCAGTTTTATTGGCACATGATTCATTTCTCGATCGTATATTACTAGACCCAAGGATTTAAAAGGTTCTCTAGATTAACACTTTCTCCACCTGAATTTACGGTTCTTCATTAACCTAAGGTCTTTTTCTTGATAAAAAGATCAAAACAGAACGATGGTTCTCATTAGTTCTTGATGCTGGTCACGTGCGCATATTTCGTGAAACCCATAACTTGAAGGGGTGCTGCACTTCCAACCTGGGCCGAAATTACAATCTTTTGCTAGCCTTTACGGAAAGTGGGGGTTTTTGTTTGTTCTCATACCCAGATTATGCAAAGCTGTCTTTCACAAGACTTATTAATAAAAACGCCTTTTTACAAGGTATATTGGAATATGCCGGACTTCCAATTTTCCTGAGACCAAACTGATCAAACAAGACTGGCTTTCGCATTATATTTCGAACATTTGTTTGTTAAGCCTTTAGTTCTAAAAAAGACTTTATTTACGCTTGTTCTGCAGTCCGAAATCGTCGGCTGCATTTGGTTCTGGCGGTGGCTAAATTCTTTTCAAATTTCATATCGGCCAAAGCTACAAATTATCATAGGTTTTCTTCTAAACAAAAGTGAGCATTTTGATTCTTTCTGTGTGTATGGAATGCTCAAACATATATCCATTCGTTGGCTCTTTATTCCTCAGACGGCTTTCCACGGTCCGAACGATGCCCTTTTAAATAATCGCGAGGTTTTCTGATACCGTTCCTTGATCTCTAGTGCCTAACAAGTCTGATTTCATTATTTAGTGAAAGATCATTTTCCGACGCCTCGCAATTTGAAGGGTGTTATGTTTTGACTCTCTGTTCCAAAATCCTACATTCTGATTGGCGTCTTCTGTATGGAATCCGGATGTTTGAATGACGCCCTATTCTGCTATTCCATGTCCGTAATCTCAGATCTTTGTTGGGTGCTTTAGAATGGTTTTATTTTCTACACCTATTAGACTTAAAAAAAAAAACACTTGAAGCTGTTCTTACCTATGCCTAATCTGTTTTTTTTTTCCAGCTGGTCTACACTTTTCATGTTAGAATTCACGAACGTCAAGCGAATGTTCTAAGTAGTGCTTTTTCTATTACCATTTGCTGCCCTTTCAATCCTCCTTTTCACGATCATCGAATAGCTTTTTTCGAAGCTTGGAGTAAATTTAAAGGCAATTTTTCTTTCTCGAAGAATCTGCACACATAAAAGAAACTCGCTCCCATTCTATGGGAATTTACCTCGTGTTGTACAGGTGCACATTGCGCAGATGTGAACGGCAGTTATGCTGCTCTTAGCCCCCCCTAAGAGACGATATAAATGTTTCTGTCTATATATATATATATATATATATATATATATATT